CACCTCAGCCTCCCAAAGGCGCGGGATTACAGGCTGAGCCACCGAGCCCGGCTGGCCTAGTTCTTAACAGACCACAAACCAGTACTGAGGTTGGGGACGCCTATCCTAAAACTTGCCATCTGGTATTGGCAATGGTAATGAAGGAGCAGCTAGCAGGCCCTAGGGAGGGACCACCAATGTGCCAAATGACAAGTTCACAGCTCAGGAGCATCTTGGCAAGCTGGAATGATGGATTAAAACCAGAAAAACTAAACTGAACGGAGGTAAATGTAAAGTCCTGAACTCAGGTTCAAAAACTCAGCCACAACTGGGCATGGTGACCCATGCCTATAGTCTCAGCACTTTAAGAGACTGAGGCAGGAGGATTACTTGAGTCCAGGAGTTCAAGACCAGCTTTGGCAACATAGCGAGACCTCTTCTCTACAAAAATGAAAAAATTAGCCCTTCATGGTGGCGTGCACCTGTAGCTACTTAGGAGGCTGAATGCAAGGATCACCTGAGCCCAAGAGGTCAAGGCTGCAATGAGCTGAGATCATGCCACTGTATTCCAGACTGGGTGACAGAGTGAGACCCTGCCTCAAAAAAACAAGACAAAAACTCAATCACAAATTTCTACATCATCAATTGCAAAAGCATCTTAGTTACCCACAGGGAAGCAACATTTATTGAACATGCACTTTATTTACATCAGCATCACTCCAACCCTGTAAGGCACTGTTATCCCTAACTCACAGAGCAGGACACCTGCCCAGTGACACTAGTTACAGGATGACAGGGCCAGGATTCACCCTTGGGTCTGCCAGTCCTGAGCTTGTGCTCTCTGCCTTGGCCAGGCTGCCTCTCAGAAGGCAGAGGCACTGTGTGTTTTCCCTCCAAGGCAGCAAGGAACAGGCCTGAACAAGACTCCTTGTTTCCTCCCTGGCCCTGTGACCCCAAGGGACCCTCAGACTGCAGGGATTCCTGTGGCCTGCAGAGGAAGGCACTGTTGCAGTTGCCCTGCTGGAAAACTGGCATGGTAATCCCTCACTTTGTACACAACACCTGACAGCAGTGGTTCTCAAGGTGTGGTCCTGAACCATCAATATCACCTGGGAAACTTACCAATTAAATTCTCAGGCCCCGGCCAGGCTTGGTGGCTCAACCTGTAATCCCAGCACTTTGGGAGGCCGAGGTGAGTGGATTGCCTGAGTCCGCGGGTTCAAGACCCGCCTAGGCA